CCCAGAGGGAGAGGGTGGAGAGGGAGGTGGGAGGGGGGACTGGGATGGGGAATACATGTAAATCCATGGCTAATTCATTTCAATGTATGACAAAAACTACTGTAATGATGTAAAGTAATTAGCCTCCGACTAATAAAAATAAGTGGGAAAAAATAAATAAATAAATAAATAAATAAAAAAGAAACTTAAAGATATTCAGCCTATAAATTTCATGTTGATGAAGCCTGGTTGTTTGTATTTCATATAAGTGATGAACTGCATATATGTTGGTAAATTGGCTTACATAGGAAAAAAAAAAAACAAAGAGATTATATTCTATTTCTTTAAGGCGGTTTTGACTCCAAGAAGTTCAGGTTAGAATAAAATATTTTATTATATTTTATCACCCAAGAGGAGATCAAAGATAGATAATGAAATGGTTTTGATCATTTGAAGATAAACAGAAAGTCCGTAAGGGCACTCCCACTTGTATTGTTGTCCATCTTTCTCTGTGTGCTGAACGCGCTTTATGTGGAATAGTGATCGGTTAGCAATTGTGAAGCAGTATTCATGTAATGAAGGGTTTTATTTCTCCAGTAGATGCAGAAAAATTGTTCGAACTCTTCTCATTTAACTGCCCCATTGAGAGGACCTGCTGCTCCCATCACAGCCCGGGAACCACCTTACTCCTGCCGGCAGCTCACCTCCCTGTGGACACAGGCTTAAAAAAGCTAACCTCAGACTCACAAGCTCAAGCTCAAATCTATATTGTAAAGGCAACGTTCAGAATTATAATCCTCCTGTTACTTTCTTTAGCTTGCCATTCCTTTATGCCCCTCTTATTCATTTCTCCACCCAGATTTTTCTCCATAGCTTAGATATTAATGCTTAAGAAAGGTTACAATGAAAATAAGCCTCTTTAGTCCACTTGCTAGACATACAGCCAACTTTATCTACATAGTAGAGGTTCAACTAATGACAAATTATCACTTTAAGACAAGAAACAGTACCGACTCTGTAAATCAATCCTACCTTTTAGGCTTCCCTCCCATGAAGCAATTCTGTAATGATGTGTTCATATTTACATAATGCCTCCAAACACTTACTGAAAACATTTCTAATAATGCCAATATTTCCAATGTAAATTTTGTTTACATTAACAATTACACAAGCAGTGCAACTTCAACAACAAAAATTTGCCACAAGAGCAGGAGCTACTTCACAATTTAGCATTACCCGTTGCCACGTGCTTAACGTGTATGTCTGACAAGCATTTACAAACGGAGTGCTCTGACCACCGTGTTTTCCTGCTGCAAAAGTGTCAAAGAAACACAGCGTAAATTTCCAACCCATCAATTCTTCTGTAACTAAGTTAAAGAAGTATTGCTTTGAGGGGAAAACCCAGTAACATTGTTAGAAGTTCTGGAGGAGCTACAAATGTGTGTAAGTGAATAGTTAATTGTCACATTATTCAGTAAAGGCCAAGCACTTACGTGCCCTCCGCAATGGACAGAGTAAATCAGAAAGACATGAAGTGTGGTGTGAAACGCTGCTTTGCTGGAGTGGGTGTTTGTGTTACCAGATGGCATGCCTGCCCACGCCCACGGACACAAAGCGACCGACTGACCAAGGAGGCAGATTCGGGGGGGGGGATGACTCCCCAGCCCTCTCTGTGCCGGGCCTCCCTCTGCTTCCTCATTTGCTTTTAAGTGCTGTGTTCTCCCAAAGCGGGGGGCCCTGAATGCGTTCCGAAGGGGATTCTATACACCAAAGCAGGTACTAAAGCGGTTCCAATAAAATATTTATTGTAAGTCACCTTGACAAATACGATGAGAAATTAATTTCTCATGAACTAATACTGTTGGGGGCAATTAATACCCTCAATGTATTAATTTATGACTGACTTTTAACTTTCCTCAACTAGAACTCTCAATAACATCATCAGTATTTTGAGTGTCTTATAGAGATTAGGCAATTTATTCAATAGTTCTGGTGAGCGTGTAATTGTGAGATTAGAGGATGGAGAGAAATTTATAGCTTAGCTAGAAATCTGACATTTTAGGATCATTTGTAATGAACATAAGCTTTAAATTTCTTCTTCACCAAACATATTCTACACCTTAGACCATTTAATCTTCCAAAGTCTCTTTTTGAGACTAAGCATTTACATTTCTCAAATTAGTCCCTTATTGCAAATTTCAGTCTAGCCACCCAATGGAATATCATGTAACCTCTTTGAACAATCTAAGATAATTTAGTTTAAGCTGCACCTCAAAATTCCATAGCCCATAGTTAGTAAAAAGAAAAAAAAAAATCCAATAGATTCTTAATGAGTTACTTATATAGGGGACAGTCAATGAGTATTGACTTATTTATTTACATAAAGACCACAAACAAAGCAAGCAACAGTAGCTTCACAAAAAACTGTATGTTCCTCTCTAACAAAATTACTGCTGGTCATTGGACCATCATTCTGACAGCTCTGATTTTCTAGAAGATGCTCTTATCCATATTTATCATAGCTGATAGGATTTCAGTTGATTGCTTGTGACATTTTGTCTAGACCAGAAGGGCAGTGTCTTCTATGGAAAACTCATTTTGGGGAGCAAGGCAATATTTCATCCTTCAAAGGCCAAAAGAATAAAATGATTTCAAAAGATGCATTGCCTCATGTGTTTTCAATAGCAAAAAAATGTCAGTTTTTTTTTTAAAGCAGAACAAGCTAAGTAGTCATAACCAAACTATTCTTTGGCTAGCCCTTCAACCATTTTGCTTTATTCTAGCATATTACTTAGTGAAGAGCATTGTCTGTTTTCAATTCCTTGATACATTTTGAGGTTCTAAATACAAAGGTTTGCAGGGAGTAAAATGGGAATTAGCTCCACTTAAATTGCCGTTGGCATTTCCTGCCTTTGCCATAGTGATTTTGGAACTCAAAGGCAGAAACGCCAGAAGAGTTTTATCCTCTGCGGGCAGAGACAAAAATCAGAGAGGGCATGAAATTTAATCCCAATTAAACTTGAACATTGGAGCCTGCAGTCTGTCTTTGTGTATCTAGATGCCTGTTTAATAATATGGGAATTATAAGTAAGGACACCATTATCCTGATCTTATAACAGATGACGACTGCTTTAGAATCTCAATAAAAATAATCTCTTACATTTGTGAAGAGCTTCTCACTTTACTGAGGGTTTGCACATATGTCATCAAGGTTATAAACAGAGTGCAATTTAGAGAAAATCAATGGAATTAACAGGAAAACTTATAATAATTACTTTGATAATTTATAAAATTATTTTATATTTTATAACATTTTATAAATATTTTATATCTATATTTTATATCTTATTATTATACAATAATAAATTTTAATAATTTAAGAAGTAAATGTCTTAACATTCAGTCCTAGTCACTACTTACAACTGTCAGTAAAAACTGACATATTTTAACACAATCCCTTATCCTAGTGTACGTCTGAGAAACGTGCCACTTCACATACGTACCACAGTTTTCTTCATCACTATCATCGTCACAGTCAGCCTGGCCATCACACCTTCTGGAAGCCAGAACACAGCGTCCTGAGCTGCACTTGAAGTGACTAGGTGAGCATTCTGTAAAAAGCAGCGGGCCATATTACTGCCAACAGACAGAAAACCCAGACCCATCAGCTACATTATTCATTTACGTGTGGGATGATGTGGAGAAGATATCACTGAAGATAAGGATGGTCCCTCACCAAGCTGAAATCACCAAAATTTACTTGGTTCTTTTCTGTCTGCCCTCAGCATCTTTTTCCTTCATCCTTGGCATCATCTCTCCAGATTAGCTGTTTTGTGTCTTTATGCTTTCCAACAATTACATCTCTTTCTGAACGGACAATTGCTGGAGCCTGAAATGTCCTAGGAATTCAATGCTTCTAACTGCCCTCCTTTCATTTGTCAAATTGTTTCCCATTCTGATCTTTCCACCTGGTGGACAGGCATTTCTCTACCTGATCATCTCACACGGCCAAGGTCTCTGAATGCTTTGCACTTGAAGCTGAGTGCCGAAGAATGAATACTTTTGGACTGTGGTGTTGGAGAAGACTCTTTTTTTATTTCCACTTGGTGGACAGGCATTTCTCTACCTGATCATCTCACACGGCCAAGGTCTCTGAATGCTTTGCACTTGAAGCTGAGTGCCGAAGAATGAATACTTTTGGACTGTGGTGTTGGAGAAGACTCTTTTTTTCCATTTATTTTTATTCATTGGAGGCTAATTACTTTACAATATTGTAGTGGTTTTTGCCATACATTGACATGCAGTGGTCATGTATGTATGTGAGAGTTGGACTGTGAAGAAAGCTGAGCGCCAAAGAATTGATTCTTTTGAACTGTGTTGTTGGAGAAGACTCTTTTTTTCCATTTATTTTTATTCATTGGAGGCTAATTACTTTACAATATTGTAGTGGTTTTTGCCATACATTGACATGAATCGGCCATGGATTTACATGTGTTCCCCTGGAGAAGACTCTTGAGAGTCTCTTGGGCTTCAAGGAAATCAAACCAGTCAATCCTAAAGGGAGTCAGTCCTGAATATTCATTTAAGGACTGATGCTGAAGCTGAAATGCCAACACCTTGGCCACCTGATGCAAAGAACTGACTCATTGGAAAAGACCCTGATTCTGGGAAAGATTGAAGGCAGGAGGAAAAGGGGATGACAGAGGATGAGATGGTTGGATGGCATCACTAACTCGATGGACATGAGTTTGAGCAAGCTCTGGGAGTTGGTGATGGACAGAGAAGCCTGTGTGCTGTGGGTCCATGGGGTCACAAAGAGTTGGACATGACTGAGCAACTGAACTGAACTGAACTGAAGGAGCCACGGCTTTATCTTCACTGTTACCTGCAAGACCCTCTAGTATAAAAGCAGCTTCCATATATAATGGACTCTGTGAGTTGTGTCATCTCTGCAATTTATTTTTAAGATGAATACAGTGTCTAACAGATAAGTGTTAAATTCTTCAATGTAATCAAGTTTATAGATTCACCACCTACATAGCCTTTCTATTGGCAATCAAATAAAAACAACAATTAAGAAACTTCTAAAGGTAGCTGATTTATTCATTCATGTTAGATACTGCATTGTAATTAATTTTAAAATTAATAAAAATTAACCTTCAACTTCATCATCAGGCATTAGGCAGGTTTGATTGTCTGCATTTTCCTCTGGAAATTGATTGCAATCTGTGTCTTCTGGCCACTGTAGACCCACAATCCCAAGAACAGACTCACAGCGTTCTTTGGAATGCTCACAGAGAGCTCTAAAAGAGCAAAAAAACCAACATTACAGGCAGAAATAGCTACACCAAATGTTAGGCATCTACATAGGACTTTTAATTCTGTACAGCCTTGGGTCAATGTATATATGTGGTGTGTGTATGCAGTGTGTGTGTATCAATGTATATATGGATGCACATACACATGATAGGTATTTGGGAAATCAAAATAAGAGATATCATTACAAGAGAGATAGAGTCCTGAAACACAGTTTCAGCAAAAAAACAAAAACAAAAACAACCCAACAAAAAACCAACTCTATTGCAGGAATGGAAATAGAGTTGTTCCCAGAACATGGATTCCCTTCTCCAGTTTACCCTTCTTGCTTTCTCTTCTGTCTTTCAGGCAGACACATTCTCCATCATTTTTGTTTCAGGCAGGTCCCCAACATCACTTTGGGCACTCTGCCACCACAGGGCGGAATCTGTACAACACACTCAGCCCCTTCTGGTGCCCTGCGACTGGGCCATTCCAAGTTCCAACCTGGCTTCCCTAAAGGCAATACTTCAGCTCACACTAATATTGTTGAAAAACTTGGTGCTTCTCCCAGACCCATCCATGTTGAGCTCAAGTTGGTAAAACATTAAATGTACTGGCTTTTGTTACAGAAAAGATACACTAAGCATCGCACTAGGCGTTTTAACATGTGTTACCTCATTTGTACCTAGAATATTTTAAATTGAGGCATCAGCATGTCTCAAAGAAGATGTTTTTCACTTCAGATGGGGGAAAAATGCAGTTCTGCCTCAATATATAACCAATAAATTCGTTTTTAAAAATGTTAAGTAGATATAACCAGAGCAAGTTCCTAGGCAAATTTCTCATTTCCTTTTAAAGACATTCTCATTTCTCAAAAGTTTCCAACTTTAAACTAAGTTAATATCAACAACATAAGGAATGGCTAGCAATTGAACAGAGAAGTTTCCAAAAAGTCTCCATCTTGATTTAACTCTGTCTAGATTTAAGACAGAGCATAACTTAATGTTGGTTTAGCCTAGGAATCTGGGGCAAAGACAAAGCCATGGCATTCCCATATGAGGCAAAAACGAGAAGCTCAACGGTGCTTAACAACTATCTGTTTGATTGAGTAGTTTTGTTGCAGATTAAATAAAAATGTATATAACTCAATCACTGCTGCTACTTTAAATTAACCAACAGATACCTATTTCAGATAGAAGTCAGGTACTGCCTGACTCTACCACTTTTTTTCCCCTGTAAAATAGAAATAAAATAAACAGCACTACAACTCCACAGCACACTTGTTCATATCATAATCTGTGTGGTATTCAACCAAAGAGACAACAGTCCCAAAAGGTTGCTTTGAGGATGACAACTAAAGTATTTAGCACATTATAAGGGCTCAATAACATTAGATTTTTTCCAATTCATAACTTAAAAACTGAATTTTAAGATCAATAAACAAGCCTGGCAAAAGCAACTATGCGCAACCCCATAAGCATATCAGTATATTACTCTCATTATACAAAAAATATTTTCTTACAAATATCATAATGTAAAATTCTCTTTGATAGCTACTAAAAATTAAAGATGTATATATGCTAAGACAAAACAACTAAAATGCCTAGAATCAGTTCACCAAATTGTTCCCTGTATAGTATTTCAGGATCCATCTCATCTTAGGCATTTAAATATGAAACCTAAGTCTTAGAATTATCAGTTATATGTGGATATAAATTTGTTCCAGAGAACACTGTTAGAGAAATGTTTATACACATATGAAAAGAAAATCAAATACAAGAATTTGTTAAGTACTATTAAAAGTAAGTATTCACTATCATCAACCTTGCTTAGCAAAAATGGAATAAGATTTACAAATAAGTTGTTAACATAAAACTGGTAGATGTTTTATTAGTAATATGTCAAAAGGCATTTAACAGACATTTTCAGAAGTGTATTTGCACACGCCTACATCGTCCTACTCTGTTTGTACTTTTCTGTTCAGTTTCCCAAGTCATTTTGAAATTTTATTGTTTCCTGTCCTGACTCTATAGATGACCCTTCCTTGTCATCCATTTGATATTCAGTATTTAATTTGTTTTCTCATCTGTTCACTGTTTTGATATTACTGCTTTTTCTTCAAGTTCCGAATGACGTCTGATTCAAACACGTGGTTTTCACAGCCACCACTCACATCAGGCAGGCACATCTGTGCACTCACCCACGATGGAAAAGAGCCCAAGGAGAGCAGCCCACGTCTGTGACAGCCGCCCTGGATGCGCACACTCTGCCCACAGCCCAGGACACACGGCGGAGAAGGCCAAGCTGCCACAAAGCCGTGAGCGCTGCCCCTGTCCTAACATCAGAGCAGTGCTTATTCTGGGCTCACGGTCAACTGGCAGAACTTCGCCTTTGTGTACATTCATCTAATCTTAATCTCACAACAACTCAACCCAACCACGATCACAATCCTGGCCTTCCAACTAAGGGAACTGGGACTGGAAGAGATCGAGGAAACGGTCTCAGGCCACAAGCAGCTAGAGGAAGGGCCAGGATTTGAATCAGAAGGTGGACTCCAGAGTAAGAGTCTTAACCACAGGACATCACTCATAGCCTAAGTCCAAGCCATGCTCTTAAAACGCTGTCCTGAATTTCACCCAAGCAGGTAGAAAAACTCTATGTTCATCCCCTGTCTGTCCTGAGAGGTTGGTGTGATGTCTCTTAACTTTTGATACAGTTAGAAAGCAGCATTTTAAATACATCAACACTGCTAGATCAAGAGGCAGACAGATCCCTCCTTCTGCTGTCTCACATTTAAAAAACCACTTCTTGATCCACCAAAATGAAATATGTGATTTTATTTGGCTAAAGTCCATGAACTATTATCAAAGGCAGTTCATAACCCTCTTGTTTGGTTCTTCAGCAATGACTTCTTACTCAGATACTCATTTTAGAATTCTACTTCTTTACCATTTTAATATGCAATTTGTTAAACACAGAGCTTCTTAGCAAAATAAGTACTTTGTCTAAACTTAAACTAAGTCTTCATTCCCTTGGTTCTCCCTGAGGGAAAATGAGGATGCCTGGGGGAGATGCCATTGTATTACCTGCAAGGGGGGATACGCTGGTGTGCATCCTCGTCACATTTTGGTACCAAGATGGTGCAAGCAAAGAACATGAGGTATTTGTAACAGTTGGTTTGAACAAGTGCAGGGAAAAGAGAAGACTCCCAGCTGATGGATGCTTCCTTTTGAGTCCTGTGGCCAAGGTAATTCGGAAAATTTGTACGGTTGTAGGGCAAATTCAAGCAGAGTTCCAACGTAATTGGTTCACACTGACCTAACAATAACAAAAAAAAACCACACATACAGATACATATTATATATTTTTATTTATAATTTAATGTTTATATTTATAATTCCACATGTAAGATAACTTACAAAATGAAAGTCTACCTTACAATCTTTCTTAAAAGTATTTAAGACTAGAATGCAAGCAGTACATAAGGTTGCCTTCAGAGATAAATAGTGTGGTTCATGAGGTGTCTTGACAAGCCAAGATTCATTTCTGTATATGCATCTGCCAGCACACTGCCCAGCATGAATGTTTCAGAAGGTCTTCCTCATTTTCCCCTTGGTTTCACTTATCTGAAAGTGACTCCGTTTCCTGCTTCCTTTTACTTTAATTTGTCATCTTCTGATTTATCCATTACTTCTAAACTAATGCATTCCCCATCACCCTGAAAGCCACTTTTAAAAATTAACGAATTTAGCTGAGGAGGCAAGTAGATGACTTTTTCCTATATGTTTTGTGGTTAATAAACATATGAAAGTATAACGTGAAAGTCACTCTTTCGTGTCTGACTCTTTGCAACCCCATGGACTGTAACATGCCAAGCTCCTCTGTCCATGGAGTTCTCCAGGAAAGAAGACTGGAGTGAGTAGCCATTTAGCCATTCTGTTCTCTAGGGACTCTTCCCAATCCAGGGATTAAACCCAGGCCTCCTGCACTGCAGGCAGATTCTTTACTGTCTGAGCCACCAGACACTTGTTGATCAATACACAATTCCAGGGCAAGAAGAGGCTGAGGGCCATCAGATATCCATTGCCAGAGAGATCATCCCTAACACTTAGCTTGGCATCCAAGGCTATTTCACACTCCAAACCACAGCCTAACCTTCTAGCCTCATCACCCATCCTATCTCATCAGCAATATTTGCTTGGTGACACCAGACATTTTAAGAATTGCATGACTTCGTGATTCCTGTTAGCTTTTATTCCTTTCTTTCCTTCACACACTTGCAATCACCCCTTAAATGCAATCATGTTTCTAGCTGTCAGCACTTGCTTCCTGGAGTGATCCTTTCCCGTCCTTCTCACCAAGCTAATTTCTCCTTGGTTTGCAGCACTCAGCACAAACACCTCTTCCAGGAAGCCTTCCTGGCCAACCACTCTTCCTCTTCCACTCCCAGAAGGAGCACCAGAGTATCTCCAGGACATGCCTGCCATGCCCACTGGCCCTCTGCTCTATTCTTCACTTACTTACTTGTCCTCCCCACACAATTCTGAGACTTTTGTGAAATGAGGCTTTCTTTTTTTAAAATTGAAGTATAGCTCATTTACAATGTCGTGTTAGCTTCTGCAGCCACAGCTACAGCTAAGTCGCGTCAGTCGTGTCCGACCCCGTGCGACCCCGTGCGGCCCCGTGGGCAGCGGCCCACCAGGCTCCTCTGTCCCTGGGATTCTCCGGACAAGAACACTGGGGTGGGTTGCCATTTCCTTCTCCAACGCATGCATGCATGCTAAGTCGCGTCAGTCGTGTCCGACCCCGTGCGACCCCGTGGGCAGTGGCCCACCAGGCTCCTCTGTCCCTGGGATTCTCTGGGCAAGAACACTGGAGTGGGCTGCCATTTCCTTCTCCAATGCATGCACGCATGCTAAGTCGCTTCAGTCTTGTCCGACTCTATGTGACCCTATGGACAGCAGCCCACCAGGCTCCTCTATCCACAGGATTCTCCGGGCAAGAACACTGGGGTGGGTTGCCATTTCCTTCTCCAGTGCATGCATGCATGCTAAGTCGTGTCAGTCGTGTCCGACCCCGTGCGACCCCGTGCGACCCCGTGGGCAGCGGCCCACCAGGCTCCTCTGTCCCTGGGATTCTCCGGGCAGGAACACTGGGGTGGGTTTTGCCACTTTCTTCTCCATGTGTTAGCATCTGGCATACAGCAACGTGATTCAGTTTTCCATACATAATGAAAATGAATGCTTTTTCAGATTCTTTTCCATTATAGTTTATTATAAGATATTAAATATAGTTCCCTTATTTCTTGATCTCATAGTCTGCACCAAGCATAGTGTGAGAATTAAGGGAGGAAAGGAGGAAGGAAAGTGTCAGAAACCATCGTAGGCACTTTAAAATGTAAAAACAATTCAAAATACAGTCCAAGCCATTGAAGCAGTCTACGTCTCCAGGGACACGACGTCGACAGACTAGGCCAGCAGGACTGGGAAAGTGCTAGAGCCCAGGCGGACAACGTGGACAGGAGCAGCCTGGGAAGACCTCCCCGGACAAAGGAGTTTGGACAGATTTGGGGGAAAGCAGCGGCAAGGCTCTCTGCCCCTTGTCTGCAGGAGACGGGCCTCACTCCCAGAGGAACGAGGTGATCAAGGGAGTGTCTTTGCAGAATCAGGCCAGGTCCACCAAAGACTTCATGCCTTAAGGCTGATTATTCAAATTAAATTTAATTATTTGACTAAGAAGTGGTAAGCAGGCAAACAGATTAGCAATAAGGACTGCAGTGAAATAGTGAAACAGCTCTGGGATGATTTCTCGATTTAAACAATCTGAGGGCTTTTCAGATACTATGCTATGAAAGTTTCACAACGATCAGACTAAAAAGCTCATGACCACACATATAAGACTCTCAGTTTACTGGGGAAGAAGTAACACTCTAAAGCTGGCATAATCCTGAGGATGCCTACAGTGTAGGGAGAAGAAAGAGATGGAAGAGGGATGGAGTTTGTTCAACTTCTTGCTTCTCTGATTTGTGAAAGAGGAGTAACATGAAATGTTTGATTTCACATTACACATAAAAAAATGCATGTTCGTTATAAAGACAATAAAAAGATGCATATAGGAAAAGTTCTCCATTCCCCACCTCCTTTTCTTTAACTTTCCTCAAAGCTAAAAGACAGTTTTAATCCTTTCAGGCCTTTCACTTGCTCATATTTATATGCATAAGAATTTACACACACAGGCAGAGATATGTCTATGCTTTCACCAAAGGATAACTGTACTATCACTATTACTTTCCAACTTGTTTTTGTTTCTTGATAACCTATCATGACCAAGTAGTAGAAACAGCTCAACCTCTATGTTTTTCCTAATTTCTTCAATATACTTAAAATTTTACCCCCCAAAATGGGATCATTTACATATATTTCGATGCAGTCTTTTTTCCCCTGTAGACACCTTTTCTTTCTCTTTTCCTCAACCACCCTATAAAAAAGTTTTGACTTTTTTATCAGTTCATTTCACTGAGATTAACTAATAAACATATCGTGTGGACAACTTTTCTCCCTTTTGACATGCAGCAGATGTATCACTTTTGATTTGGGATAAGATACAGGCTTTAAATATTTCAGTGTCAAGGGAGATGAAGGGATTAAGTTATGATCATATACTATTCTGAGATCTTTATTGAATGCGTTGAGGTTGACTGAATCCTGTGTTTTGTTCCTTCATAATGGCATTCTTCACAGAGTGCTAAGCAGGATAAACTCTCAAGATATCCGGCAACCTCCAATTCTGGGATTGAGGGTATCAGACTTTCTTTATCTTAAGCATTAGACTCACATACGACCCTCGTTTACAACAGCCACGAGAGGGCGATGGCGTCACAAACATGAGGCCATTTAGCGGCCACGGGGCTGTTTGCAAGGTTTTTAGTGCCCAGCGCGGCATCCTGAACTTAGACGAGGCTTAAAAAATATCTGTTGAAAGAAAGGTCGTGATGGAGTCTCAATGACAGCCCACTTTTCAGACTCTGAAACAAGATTTGTTAAATTCAACCCACAGACAGGACTGTTAACTAAACAATGCTGTATCTTGGTGGCAATAGTGGTAAAGAACCGGCCTGCCAATGCAACAGACATGAGAGATGTGGGGTCCATCCCTGGGCCAGGAAGACCCCACGAAGGGTACATAGCTACGGACTCCAGTGTTCTTGCCTGGAGAATCCCACGGAGAGAGGAGCCTGGCCGGCTACAATCCACTGGGTCGCAAGGAGTCGGACACGACTTGAAGCAACTTAGTAGGCACACAATACCTTAAGTCATTGGGAATCATGTATTAGGTTACCGTCATTTACAGGAGAAAATGTCACTTCCGACATCCATTGGCATATAAACGATTCTCAGATTCACCTTTGCATCAAACTTTGTGGCTCAGACAGTCAAGTATCCATCTCCAATGCAGGAGACCCAGGTTCGATCCCCCCGCTGAGAAGATCCCCTGGAGAAGGAGCTTACCCACTCCAGCATTCTTGCCTGGAGAATCCCACGGACAGAGAAACCTGGGGGGCTACAGTCCATGGACTCCCGAAGAGTTGGACATGACTGAGGGACTGACACTTTTCACTTTTCATTTTAAATCTCTATCTTTATTATTTTCAATAATTTGAAGAGCTATTATAAGGTGAACACCCTTGTAACTGCCGCTCAGGTCAAGAAATTGACTTTACCAGACCATCACAGGCGCGCTTCCATATACCCTGTCATATGCCAACCTCCTCCTCCTCCCACAAAGCAGCTACTGAGTTTCAGAGTCATTACTTCCTTGCCCTTCTTTATAGCTTTATTACCTAAGTGTGCACCACAGCCTCATACTACAGCTTGGCGACCGGTTTTTGGAAACCTATTTAAGTCTCTTATAATAGCTATGCTCCCTCTCTTTCTTTATTTTTCCTTAATATTTAAGTGCTAAAAACTCCGGGGACTTGACCTTGCAGTGCGCCAGTCTGGATCTTGCTGATGGAACATTCTCGGCAGGTGAAGCATGTTCCCTGTACTCCCTGTCCCCTGAGCACTGGCTCCTGAAGCAGGAGGCGGACTGGGTTTCAGCAGGACTTGGACAAGGTTCTAGGTGCTGCGACGTTCTTTCATCAAATGACACACCCACCGACTTCTCCATGTGCCGTCTACAGCTGCATGTCCATGCTCAATGTCTTGTCCTGTTAATTCTCTTGGTGACCATATGGTAATATTCTAACTCAATCAATCACTTTTTATTTACTCCTTGAAAATGCTTATAGAAAGAGATGACTCCTCTCAATTGACTCTTTGATCACACTTCTATACTCTTTGCTCCTTCCAACCACAGACTGCAACGAGAGGCCAGAAAATTCACATACCACTGAGAAATTATTCAAGTAACAAAGCTGTTACTTCTTCCCGGATCTAACTTCTCAGTGGGAGGATCATACTGCCATCTTCCCACTCACACGTTCGATTTTGGTTTTCTGTGTATGTTCTTCCAATGCACTCAGCACAGTTTCCTGAGCATCTCAGTGTCTCATCAATTTCCTCTTTCATCACAGATGTTCTTGCCAGGTCCTTTCCATATATATTCAGCAAACGTTTGAATACCCCCTCTTCTGAGTGTCTAGCACTGGACTAGTCACTTGTCCCCATTCCTTCTGTGGTATTAAAAATGAGTGTTGGAGGAAAAAGTACATGGGCAAACATGCAGAACTAAAGATTGATGGAACACTGTGGGAAACTCAGGAGAGTCCCTGAGGCGTGACAGTCATTTCCGGCTTCACACAGCCACAGCGGTCACGGGTGCAGGGAGGCAGAGGGACATGTGCCGGGAGCCGCTCTCCACCAGGTTTCCCAGCTGTCCGGATCGCACACTGCAGGAGCAAGTGATGGGTCGAGCAAACATGCAGAACTAAAGATTGATGGAACACTGTGGGAAACTCAGGAGAGTCCCTGAGGCGTGACAGTCGTTTCCGGCTTCACACAGCCACAGCGGTCACGGGTGCAGGGAGGCAGAGGGACATGTGCCGGGAGCCGCTCTCCACCAGGTTTCCCAGCTGTCCGGATCGCACACTGCAGGAGCAAGTGATGGGTCGAGCCCTACACCCCAGGCCGAGGGCACATTACATCCCTGTTCCTACTCCCTACACCCTCCCAGCAGGGTGCAGACATATTAAAGATTCTGGGCTTGAGTGGATAGGTTGACACTAGCCTATCACTGAACACTGTTATCTGAGATATATTGTTCAGGCTTTTATTTTTTAAATTGTAGCCACTTCTGGAAATCTGAGATAAACCCTGGAGCTTAGCCATTGAAAAATACAAAAGCCATGAAGACATTTTTCACACCCTCTTTCAAGATGTCACTAATTTCTGCAGCCTCATCAGGCCACAAAGCAATCCTTAACTTGCACTGCACACTGGGGCCACCTGGGAGATTTTAAAAATACTGATGCCTGGGCCCCTCCCAATATATCTTCAGGGACAATTAGTAAGTTACATAATATTTTATGGACAACAAGAACCACTGTCTTTAAGAGCTAGCCTCCCAGCAACTCCAGTGAGAGAGGCTGACTCCACCAGACAAAACATCCACATTTTCCAAACCCATATTCCCCACTGGCAGGGAGCCAGGGAACGACAGTGCTCTCACTTGTGCCCCAGAATCTAAATAACAACAGTGTCATATTGATAGCAGCAAAGATTTTTAAGTGACTAATCACATTTTCAAGTGATGAAGAGTCTTCTGAGGGGAGATGTTGCTTGTCCATGTTTTTAGAGAGAACCAAGTAGACACACACCACTCTGAAGCTCTTTGAAAAATAAGGAAGCATCTTTACTCTCAACTGGAGGTGAGGCTTATACACTGTTTTTAACAACACACAAGGAATGGGGATGAGTGACTAGCCCAGTGCATGATCCTCAGAAAAGGAGATTTTCAAGTGTCTGCTGAATATACATGGAGAGAGCCTGGCAAAAACATTTGTGATGAAAGAGGAAGCTGCTGAGACAGTGAGATGCTAGGGAAATTGTGAGCCTATTTGAAGAACATAAAAAGGAAACCAAAATTATATATATGACTGGAAAGGTGGTAAATGATCCCCCTATTGAAAAGTAATCTCCAGGAAAGCTGGAATAATGTCTCTCTTCTTTTCCATCAAAGTGCACAGTGCCTGGAACATCACAGGCTAAGTACTGGTTGAATATATATATGAGCCAAGTTATCTAGTGCTCTTCCTACAAATTCTTTTATTTTGACAGATGAAAAGATATTTAAATTTTTAATCTTAAAATATTTCAAGTATAGAAAACAGGGTAACATATACCTGGTGACTCCCCACCTAAACTTCATATGGGCTAACATTACTCTCTCAAATTTTTTTAATCTAACAGTGCCATGCTATGTCAGATAACCCTCAAAACTTCAGTAAAATACACATGTCTGAGACAACAGTGTCACTGTCCAAAAGTCTGCAACCCAAGTTCAAAGTGAAGTAAAAAAAATAAAAAATGATTCTGAAAGAGTTCCAAGGAAGAGTCCAAGATAAGCGAAGCCTAACCATATACATACACACATATATACATACACATACACATATATTTAGTGGAGTTTAGAGTGAAGAAAATGGTATTATGTCTTAGTAGTCAGACTGGTAACTATCTGCACTGCTCTCTCCTTACGGGAAGTGGAGGAGGACTTGGAATTGTATTTTCAGCCAGTTACTAAGTGCTCATGAAAATAAAAAATCTTGTCAGATGGGTTATTAAGTGGCTGTCTCCCTCACTCTCCTGTCCAGCCCACTGTTTTCACCCCTAAAGTTCCCCTAAGGGGTGTGGGCTTTCCCCACCCGTAAGTTCTATGCTGACCCAGAAAAGTAATGAGTAGAATCAGGATCCGAAAACTTGAACAAATCCAGGGACCTGAACCCTTCAGCTTTTCAACCTCCCAGCCTCCAGGACCTTCACTGCCAGGATCTGTGCTAAGAAGCCACACCTTCTTGTCAACTGAAAGCTTGACAGACTGCTTCTGAATCTTAAGCCCAAGCTGACAGGGAGGCCAAAAATTAGTTCTAAAGAGTTTAAGAGGGAGCAGAATATGAAGGCAGAGTCCAGAAGTAAGACACCATCCCTAGAAATTAGGATCTTTGGGGACTTTCTGATTCATTTTAAATTCCTCAGGAGAGTCTTTCTGTTCATCCTGCCCATTCCATCTTCCCCTAATTATCCCTCCTCATAAGCCAGTCTGGAGAAAGCCACCTGTCTACACCATTTGCAGCCTTTCCATTGTCACCAACACAAATGAACACAACAGCCACAAGATGGTTCTAGGTCAGCAGAGTTCCTAGAAGGGGGAGAATACATTTCATCACAGGGACAGACCACCAAAGTTTTATGTGGTTGTTTAGATGAATTTTATATCTGCTTCTCAGATAAAGTTTCTACATTTGAAGCTGGGCTTTAAAAAGGAAGAACGATAGCATCTGCCTGCAGATGGAGCCAGAAAAATAATATATAGGAACTGATGCTGAGTGGAAAGTCATGCCAATGATATTAAACAACATGGATTTATAGCCCATTCATGGTGACACATTTGTTTATGATTTCAGTTAATTAAGACCACTTTGCTTCTTTTCTGCTACCACATGTAACCTTTAAAAACAAAAAGAAAAAATACATGCATGTACATATTGTGGAGGGATTCCAGACTTCAGCATTTTAATGTCAATGAGAAAGGAAAACATTGAATGCATATCCTGACAAGATGATTGCATTTGTCAGAGGCTGTACTTACTACAATTATTCAGACTGTTGCTGGCGTCACAAAGAGAGTTACCACCACATGAATCAAGGCAGGAACTGTAGAGGCATGTTTGGTCTCCTTCTTGACATAGAGTCTGACCTACAGAAGAGAGAAAGGCACATTCACTCTCATCAGCATCCATAAGTAAATTCCAAGCACTAGCATCTGAAGGATCCAGAACTGAGGAAGGACACAACTCTAATTTCCTTCCAGCGTCTCCAAAAATATTGAACACAAGCTGAGTAGGTACCTTCTGGATTAATTTTCCTGCAGCTAAAATACAACATTGTTATTCCAGAAGGACTCTGTAGGGATGAAGAAACTAAGGGGCAACCCATCCTTTAAAAATAGGTTGTTTTTAATAGTTTTTAATGAAAAAGATAGCATCTTGTATTNCATGGGAGTTTTTAGGCAGGTGGGATAAGCTGGCATAGAGGGAAGGAGGGGTCTCCCAAGCCAACAGCAGGATGTCTCAAGGGCTGCTGGACAGGAAGGCCGAGGGTGGGGCTGAGGGCCCTAAAGGCCTCTGTCTAGAAGAGGGCTCTGTGCCCTCGGGGCAGCCACCCCGGCCTCCTCCCAGCCTCGCGGCTACTGCGCCAGGGTCTCTGCTGTGTTGGAACTCGCCGCCCCTCACCCTCAGCTCTCTGACGGCAGTGGCGCTGTCCCACTCCCCTGTGCCACCTCGCTCTTTCCACCTTGGGCCTTTGGACAAGGCGGTTCCCTGTGTCTGAAATGCTTTCTCCAGTCCCACTCTCCTTTGCTAGTTCCATTCTTTCTTCAGATAGTAGCTCTAATACCTCCTCCTCAGGGCAGCTTCCCAGAAGCCCTTTACTAGGACATGCTTCCATAGCAACACGTCCTAGCACCTTGAATTTCCCTCCTGGCCCGCATCCCTCCTGGTTACCAGACCTACTGTTTCCTGCCTATCTTCCCCAGAAGCCTGGCAGCCCCATAAACTGTTCTGCTTGCCACTGAATTCCCAGCACTACAATGTACTTTTAGTATGTTGAATTTAGTAGAGTGAATAATCTAAATTCACTACAATTTTACTTTCCTTTCTTTACATTTCCATTTTATCATGTGACTTTTCTTAAATCTCACAGACGTTAAGCAATACTGGCAAATCCTGCCACTGCATAGTAAATAATACAAGATTATTTCAAACAGCATTGAATTATGTAGAAAGAAAGAACTATTTAATCAAAAGGGAGCCTCTTGGCTGATATGGAATAACTCAAGGCCAGAAAAGAATTTCCTTCTGAATTTTCAAAACTGGTAAAACAAAGCTATCCTTATCTAGTTTTTTATGGAATAAATCAGAAATTAAAAGGCTCTCTCTTTTGGTCTACAATGCATTCTCATTAAAACTATTCTAATATCAATATTCATTATGGCAAATCTAATTTAGTTACAGGTGACCAATCTCATTAGCTGATGTGGGATACACACAGCCTAGACAGGCTTTCAGGTACCAGCCACAGAAAATAGCTTACATTTACATTTATGGGGTATTCAACACATGTCATCTCTATGAAGCAGTTATCATTACTCTGAGATTACAGACACAGAAACTGAAGTAAGCGGGTTAAATCACTGGCCTGAAGTCAACCAGGGAGTAAGTGGGAGCTGCGGTCTGAACCCAGGCGGCTGGGCGGCAACCTCCACATTCCTAACAGCAAGGCTACGTTAGTAAGATGCAAGTAAGACTTACAGACAAACATGGTGGTTTTTAAGTCGAAAGATATTACTAGCCCTGTACGGAGAGATACTTCTACACAAACTGAGGCTTAAGACAATCAGGGTAGAGCTTTCTTTTCCAAGAGAAAACCAATTTATTTGATTTACTTTTTCTTTGGGGGCTTCACAGATAATAACAGACTGCTTCTAAAGTGTGATCAAGCATATTGCTTGGCAATGGGAGTCATTAAATGGCTTCTCCGCACATGGTTATTTTTGGAAGCCATTACATTTAATTTCAGAAGCCACTTCCAACTGGAATCTAATTGAATTGAATAGTATGCGCTACACTTTTCTCTTTATTGTAGTGTTTCCCCATAAAACAGCTAACTGAATCTACCTGTGCTGTTTAAGTGTTTAACCACTATTTTGCACCCTTAGGAATGAGTTTTCAGTGTAAGTTGCATGGAACTTTTATTTACCACAAAAAAGGTTTCTGGCTGACTGGAACTGTGGGGACCAGTTCATTAGGCAATCTGAAATTATTTATGTGGGAATCCTTTAAGCACTAGATAACTTCCAACATTTTGTTTTGCTCCCAAGGAAAGACCTGCTGGTAAGAACTATTTCTGGGGTTGGAGCACACACTTACCATCACTACAACTCTCCTCATCACTTCCGTCCTTGCAGTCCTCGTCTCCATCACACTGGAAAGTGCTGGGGATGCACTGTCCATTTCTGCATTCTACCAGACCCTGGCTGTGACACGCTAGGGAACACCAAAATAACATGCATTTTAATTATCTGTATTTCTTTCAGTGTGCAGATCATATCCATGATTCCTGTTTATCTGGCATCACCAAGAAATGAAGTGTTCTAAACATCTGAATGTTCTGCCCAAATGAATAAATATGTCATTAAGTTTTTTCATCCCAAGTGTTCTTGGAATGCAAGGTTTTCTTTCTGGAATTTCTCTTACCCTATTAAGTAGCACTTACTTAAAACTAACCTTTTCTAGATCACTGCATAAGTGAAACTAGTATTAACGATGGTAGTAGTTATACTGGGCTTCCCAGGTGGCTCAGTGGTAAAGGATCTGCCTGCAATGCAGGAGATGCGGGTTCAATCCCTGGGTCAGGAAGATCCCCTGGAGAAAGAAATGACACTCCACTCGAGAATTCTTGCCTGGGAAATCCCATGGACAGAGGAGCCTGGCAAGCTACAGTGCATGGAGTCACAGAAGAATTGGATGTTACTTAGTGACTAAACAACAAGCAGTTATACTAATGATATAAAAACTACAATTTATTAAAGGTTTACTACATGGCAATAGCTGTGCTAGGAGTATTACATGTCTAATTTCAAATCCTCATAACAAATTTTTAAAGTGCCACCTCATGCGAAGAGTTGACTCATTGGAAAAGACCCTGATGCTGGCAGGGATTGGGGGCAGGAGGAGAAGGGGACGGCAGAGGATGAGAAGGCTGGATGGCATCACTGACTCGATAGACATGAGTTTGAGTAAACTCCGGGAGTTAGTGATGGATAGGGAGGCCTGGTGTGCTGCGATTCATGGGCTAGCAGAGTTGGACACGACTGAGCGACTGAACTGAACTGAAAGTGCATATTATCAACCTAGTTTAGAATAAAGAAACTGAAGCTTAGAGACTTTAGCATGTGTGTCATACTCAAGGCTGTTGAAAAGTAGGGCCAGAACATGGAAATAAGATTTTCTAACCCTAAGCCCCAGCATTTCACTCTGCACCAACCTGACCTAGTGCACCAATGAAATGCATAATACCTACCCCACAATAAACACTTTATTTCAAAATTTGCTTATGACATCTGATATTTAAAAGGATAATCTAGTGACCATTAACCTTCCAAGAACTGGCTGTCTTAATTCTATACCTATTGTCTTTTAAAGCATCAGAAACCCATGTATCATGTGACCTCAGGCTTCACAGTTAACTGTCTACGTACACACATGAGCACCATGTTCTTGCTTTTTCAAGATCAATCAAAATACAGCCCACTCTGTTCCACGATGTCCACTCAGTCAGGACTCAGATGATACTGCAGTTCAAATATAATTCAGGAAAGAGGAAAGCTGGGCATAATGTTTGCTAATTAATTTAAAGGAGTTTTCTTATGTCAAAATAAAAAACATGCAACCTACATTTCTATTTTTGCCTTAAATTACAGGCAAATTAAACAGTCTATCTCATATGTAGCCACTGTTTCTACTTTTATTAGACCATAAAAGATGGAATAAAAAGTTTAATTAGCTTGAATATGCATAAAATGCACCATATTAACTCTTTCAGGTCAACATTACCCTTCTTTAGCTTCTATTTAATCATTTTATTATTCCCTATCGAGTATAATATACTTTCTAGGAAAAAAATGTGGCAAGCCATACTCGATTTTATTAGGTAGTGTAACAGCTACCTGAAGACTCTTTTAAAAAACAAACAAACAAACAAACAATTGAAGTATAGTTGATTTATAATTTTATGTTAGTTTCAGGTATATAGCACAGTGATTCAGTTATACATATATATATCCATGTATATGTACCTATTCCTACTGGTTACTACAAAATATTAAGTATAGTTCACCATGCTATACAGTAGACCTTGTTGTTTATCTGTTTTGTATATAGCAGTACGTCTATGTTAATGCCAGAGTCCTAGTTAATTTTCCCTTTGCTTTCCCCTTTGGTGACATGAATTTGCTTCCTGTGTCTCTGTGAGCCTGCCTCTGTTTGGCAAATAAGTTGTTTGTGTAATTTTTAGATTCCACATATAAGTGAGGTCATACGCTACCTGTCCACCTCTGTCCAGCCCCCTTCGCTTAGTGTGACAACCCAGAGGCCCACCCACATCGCTGCAGATGGCATTATCTCATCATTGTTCATGGCTGAGCGACACCCTACGGCGTACACAGACCACATCTTCTTATCCGTTCACCTGTCAAGGAACATGTAGGTTGCTTCCACGTCTGTTACTGTAAAGAGCGCTGCTGTGACTATATGGGTGCATGTACCCTTTTGAATTTTGGTTTTCTCCAGATATACTCACCAGAAATGAGCCAGGCTCTGAAGTAATAATGTCATCACACACTCTAACTCCATCGGCCCTGAAGGCTCTCTCCTCTGTCAGTTCCCCCCACGCCCTCTCACAAATGCTGCCTGTGAGCACGTGTGCAGGCTCTTGCTTAACTGCTAATGTATTGTTTGCAGACAGAAAGTTCCCTGTCTCTGGAAAGAATATCTGCTTTGACAAAGTCACAAAAGAGGATGTGTGGGTAATGAGAGAGAAGACAGCCACCTGCTCGGCCAGAGTGGCCAAGTCAGGCTTTGAGTTTTGGAGAGAGGAAGTCAGACATCAGTCACACTACACTGTTCTTGTCATCATACCATCCAGTTGTCATCTGTATGGGCCAGGGCCAAAGTGTAAGACTTCGTTTAGATAGGAAACCTTGAGTGTATTTGACTAAACAGACAGAAGCGGGAAAATGAGCAAGATGGGAACCTTCAGGGCACTCACAGCAGTTGACTTCGTCGGATTTATCCGCGCAGTCGTGGTCCCCGTCACACACCCACTCGATGGCGATGCAGCGCCCGTCTCCACAGCGATGCTCCTCTGTGGGGTTGCAGTCTGCAGGAGGCAAGCGCTCAGGGGATGGAGAGAACCACACGACACACACTCGGGACATACGGCTGTGGTGCCGGCACAAGTCAGAAAGTTCTTCTGTCACTAAATAACACGCTACCAAAACTTGCGAGCTAATCGCAAAGTCAGAATGGTAAACAAGCAAGAAGAATTCAGCTGGTTTTATTAATGATTCAGGAGAGGACACTCAGAACTAAACACAGCTCTTTAAAATGCGGTGGCTCAGTGGTAAATCCGTCTGCTAATGCAGGAGACGTGGGTTCAGTCCTGGGGTTGGGGATCCAGATCCCCTGGAGAAGGAAACTGCAACCCACTCCAGCTTTCTTGTCTGGGAAACCCATAGACAGAGGAGCCTGGACGGCCACAGTTTAGAGGGTCACAAGAGAGTCGGACATGACTTAGCAACTAAGCAACAACAACTTTCAAAGTTTCATTCCTCTTTTTAACTGAGGTACAACTGACATAAAATGTTGTGCAAATGTGTGCTAAGTGAGGTAAGTAAGAAAGAAAAATACTGTATATCACATGTGGAAAAAAGCTGAATTTGTACAATGTACAGACAAGTGGCTAGCAGGGGCTGGTGTGGGCTGTTGGAAAGATGCTGTTTACAGGTACAAACGTGCAACCAGTAGGTGGATTCCTTCAGTAAAAGATAAGATGAGTTTTTGAATGTAAAACAAACCATTGATGTCTCCACTACAGAAGTGGCCATGTAGGGCATGGCCATCAAATACAGGAGAGGTCTTTGGTTATATATAACAAGAGGATCAAGAGCTGCAAGCAGTTTTGCTCAAGAGCTCAAAATCTAACCATGAGCCACTGACTCCAACCAGAGAAGAAACAAACAGTTTCAAAGAGACAAAAACATGTTAACTCCTATTTCCATTCCACTTCTTTAACGTTTCCTCAGTATGACTTTACCCAAGAAATATTACATTTACACATAAGACATGACAGACTAGTAATTGAAAAAGCCTCCTCTTCCTGAAAATTAAGAAACCAATCACTTTGTAATTTAACTCATTAACCACACTAACAAACAATGAACTACAAGATTTTGATTATAAGTTTCTATAATTTTAAATGTAAACCTTTAGGGAAATAATGTTACTTACCACAGTTTTGTTCATCACTCAGATCTCCACAGTCATCATATCCATCACACACCAGGCTATAATTAAGGCACTTGCCTGTGTGACAATGAAACAGATTCTCACTGCAATCTGGGGGAAGAAAAACAACAAACAGAAGCCACTGGTGGGTCATCAGAGCAGAACAGGGTGTTAGAGTAGCAGCTGGTATAACAGAAGCATATCATGGGGCGGCGAGGGGCAGGGTGGGACTCATAATGGTGACCTGGTCCACATCTACTGTTTCACAGGTGAGGAGACTGGTGCAGGCCATATAACAAGTTACTGTAGAACCATGATGAGGACCCACTGGCCTCCAAGCCAATGCTCTTATCACTCCCTGTAAACACCCACGTTCCACTCTATGTCACTTGAAAGCTTCCTTATAGCCGAATATGAGAAAAGACATTCTCAACCCACCATAGTTTCTAGTGAAGTTCACTTTCATACGGAATGAACACTTCATAGACAGTGAGTAGTTATTTCTTAAAAATGTTTACTTTAAAATGAAAGTCTAGTTTTGTCAATGGTAAACATAGACATAACAAAGAGAAAAAGTCATTTACATTAGAGTCGTTACTCACACAACTTTACCACTTAAGTCATTTGAATGTTTCATAGCATGACCCTCAGATAAGCAGTACTGTCCTAGATTATGATGCCAAGATAAGAAAAAGTGATGTAACCCTGATTGCCAAATTCAGACTTAAATTGAACAAAGTGGGGAAAACCACTAGACCATTCAGATGTGACCTAAATCAAATCCCTTATGACTATGCAGTAGAAGTGAGAAATAGAGTTAAGTGACTAGATCTGATAGACGGAATGCCTGATGAACTATGGACGGAGGTTCATGACATTGTATAGGAGACAGAGGGCCAGACCATCCCCAAGAAAAAGAAATACAAAAAGGCAAAATGGCTGTCTGAGGAGGCCTTACAAATAGCTGTGAAAAGAAGAGAAGTGAAAAGCAAAGGAGAAAAGGAAAGATATACCCATTTGAATGCAGAGTTCCAGAGAATAGCAAGGAGAGATAAGAAAGCCTTCCTCAGTGATCAGTGCAAAGAAATAAAGGAAAACAACAGAATGGGAAAGACTAGATATCTCTTCAAGAAAATTAGAGATAGCAAGGGAACATTTCATGCAAAGATGGGTTCAATAAAGGACAGAAATGGTATGGACCTAATGGAAGCAGAAGATATTAAGAAGAGGTGGCAAGAATACACAGAAGAACTGTACAAAAAAGATCTTCATGACCCAGATATCATGATGGTGTGATCACTTACCTAGAGCCAGACATCCTGAAATGTGAAGTCAAGTGGGCCTTAGGAAGAAACACCACTACAAACAAAGCTAGTGGAGGTGATGGAATTCTAGTTGACTATTTCAAATCCTAAAAGATGATGCTGTGAAAGTGCCACACTCAATATGTCGGCAAATTTGGAAAACTCAGCAGCAGCCACAGGACTGGAAAAGGCCAGTTTTCATTCCAATCAAGAAAGGCAATGCCAAAGAATGCTCAAACTACCGCACAACTGCACTCATCTCACGCGCTAGTAAAGTAATGCTCAAAATTCTCCAAGCCAGGCTTCAGTAATACATGAACCATGAACTTCTAGATGTTCAAGCTGGTTTTAGAAAAGGCAAAGGAATCAGAGATCAAAATGCCAACATCTGCTGGATCATCAAAAAGGCAAGAGAGTTCCAGAAAAANAAAAATTGATGCTTTTGAACTGTGGTGTTGGAGAAGACTCTTGAGAGTCCCTTGGACTGCAAGGAGATCCAACCAGTCCATTCTAAAGGAGATCAGTCTTGGGTGTTCATTGGAAGGACTGATGTTGAAGCTGAAACTCCAATACCTTGGCCACCTGATGTGAAGAGCTGACTCATTTGAGAAGACCCTGATGCTGGGGAAGATTGAGGGCAGGAGAAGGGACGACAGAGGATGAGATTGTTGGATGGCATCACCAACACAATGTACATGAGTTTGGGTAAACTCCAGGAGTTGGTGATGGACGGGAGGCCTGGCATGCTGTGGTCCATGGGGTTGCAAAGAGTCGTACCTGACTGAGTGACTGAACTGCACTGAACTGAAACTCAAGAAGCTTACAGTTTGATGTTGGAATAAACATCATGGAAGGAAATTTTAATAAGAAGATAGGTCTTGTTCTTGAGTAAACCAGAACTCCTATTCTAGTTCTTCCATCTATCAGCTATGATGTTGAGTATATTAGTTAAAATTTATGTCTGTAAACTTAATTATGAAATTATGATAAGCACAACTACTTAATAGAGGAAGACATAAATAATAACGTATGTAAGATCCAAGGCAACTCAATTGGAAAAGAATACTCTTCAACAAATGGTGTGGGGACAACTGGATTTCAAGTATGCAAAGTTGAACTCTGACCTTTATCTCAAACCATATCAAAAAATCTCAAAATGGATTATAGATTTCAATGTAAGAGCTAAAATTATGAAGCTTATAGAAAAAAAAAAAAAAAAAAGTCTTTCTGATGGGGAGTGGCAAAGAATTCTTGGATATGATCATAAAAGCACAAACCTAAAAAATAATAAGTGATATTCATTAAAATTAAAAGGAGCTTCCCAGTTAGTAAAGAATCTGCTTACAGTGCAGAAAACCTGAGTTTGATTCCTGGGTCAGGAAGATCCCCTGGAGAAGGGAATGGCTACCCACTCCAGTATTCTTGCCTGGAGAATCTCATGGACAGATTCTTGTGGGCTGTTATAGTCCATGGGGTAGCAAAGAGTCAGATACGACTGAGCAACTAAACACTTCCACTTTAAAAATTAAAAACATTTGTGCTTCCAAAGACGCTATTTTAAAGATGAAAAGACAAGTCATGTGCTGAGAAAAAAAATATTTTCAAAGAATGTATCTGACAAAGGACTTATATCCAGAATATACATAGATGTTTTACACTCAATAATAAGACAAACCACCCAATTACAAAGAGACAAAAGAACTTGAATAGAAAGTCTTCATGAAAGATATACAAATGGCTGATAAGCACATGAAAAGGTGCTCAATGTAATTAACCATTAAGGAAATGCAAATAAAACCACAATAAGATACTATTATATTTCCCCTAAAATAGCTATAATAGATAAGACAGACAATATCAAGTATTAACAAGGATTCTGAGAAATTGAAACCCTCATATGCAGTTGGTGGGGATCTAAAATAATAATGCCACATTGGAGAGCAGTTTGACAGCTTCTTATAAGCTTAACTATGACTTTATGAGATTCATGAATTCCACTCTCAGAAATCTACCCAAGAGAAGTGAAACATATACTCACACAAAGACATCCATGTGAATGTTTATCACAGTTTTATTCACAATTGCCAAAGCCTAGAAATATTCCAAATGCTCAACAACTGGCAAATGTACAAGCAAAATATAGTATATTCATACAATGGGATACTATTCAGCAATTAAAAGTATCAAACTACTGATGCATGTGACAGGATCGCTGAAGCTCAGATACATTTTGCTAAGTGAAAGAAACCAAATACAAAAGCTACATACTGTGTGACCCATTTATAAACTTTCTGGAAAAGGCAAACTTACAGACACAGATGTGGCTGTGGCTTGAGATGTGGGAGTGAGGACTGAATACAGATAAATAGACTGAATACAGACAAATAGGAGGGAAATGTGGGGAAAGATGGGAAAGTTCTAGAAGTGGATCATGGTGAGGGTTTCACAATCCTATAAATTTACTAAATAACTTTACAGTGTATAAGTTATACCTCAGTAAGGTAAAAATATTTACATGTAAAGGCTGTAGTTAGTAGCAACTAGATTTCTTAAATGTATTAGGTTGATCAAAAAGTTCATTCAGGTTTTTTTGTAAGATATCATTGGAAAATCCAAATGAACTTTTGGCCAACCCAATATTATCTTTTCCCTTAGAGTGAATTAAGTTCAAAAACAGATTCTTAAGGCTGGAGAGGGATGATGGCAGATGTGCAGAATTTTAGTTGAGTGGATGTAATGAAAATTTCAGCATGTTTCAAGTAGAAGGAATAGCAACAACAAAGGAAAGAAGTGAGAAATAAAGTCACATATGAGGATCAGTCTGCTTGACTGATAAAGATCAAGAATCTAATGGTAACATCCCAGCCTCCTGAATTCCAGCTGATTGTTTCTCCTGAAGCAAAAGTCTGCCTCTCATACAATTGGTGATGGGTACTTCTTTACCATGGGGCTTCCCAGGTGGCATTAGTGGTAAAGAACCTGCCTGCCAATGAAGGAGATGGAAGAGACATGGGTTCGATCCCTGGGTCAGGAAGATACCTTGGAGGATGGCATGGCAACCCACTTCTAGCATTCTTGACTGGACAGAGGAGCGTGTGGCCTACAGGTTTCAGGGTTGCAGAGTCAGACATGACAGAAGCGACTTTGCACACATGCATCTCTTTACTCTAAACATCCCAAATTCTGTGACAATTCATTATCAGAAAACTTGGGCACTGACTAGTGAAACTGTGAGCCACATCAGAACATTATACTTGCTGTTTACAGGAACCATCAACTTCTGTCTCAAAGAGCTCTCTGCTAAGAAGTTACTTAAATACCTTCAGAATCACACCATTTTAGAAATGGAATGTGCCTTAGAGATCATCTGTTCAGCACCATCACTAAGAGGGTATACACACAGGCACACGCATATACAGATACAGAACCTTGTAAGTCCTTTTTTTTTTTTCATTTCCCCTGGGCCAAATAATTTTCAAATGAGGACAACCATCATAAGGGAAAACAAAAGGACTAAAAAGAGGTGCCAGTTTTCACCTTGACCGCACTATTTCCCCCCATTCAGCCTAGGGTGCTAACTCCCCAACCCACACCCTACTGCCAGCTGAGCTGACCACACACATACTGGCTGAGTCAAGAAAGGTTGATTGTGGTTCTCCCGCCCACTGAGCAAAGCTGCAGAATTTGTGCATCAAGATATATACATTTCCTCAGGAAATGTTAAAGATCTTTTTGATTTTTATTTTACTTTCATCTCTCATGAGAAGTTTTGAATCAGCATGCTAGAATCAGCATTATGGGGGGATCTTCACCTTGACCATCAGTGCAGAAGTACTTACGTTACCAGAAGGAGGAGGCAGTGTGAAAGGGTGATAGATTTTAAACATATGAATTAATTTTTTTAAGCAATACACTTCACTTTTTTGGATGGTAGGACTGGAGAATCAAATACCTCTTTCAGAATCTGATTAACCTGAAAACACTTAAAATATTTCCAACGTCCATTCTGGGATCCCTGGTAATTCATATAAAAAAACCTCAGATGTATTTTTTAAATTAATGTTGTCATTGATTAACTTATTTCATAAAGGGAGATGATTCAAACATTTTTTTATAATTCCTCATTATTCATACAGGCTACTCAACTTTCCACTGCTATGAC